GAGATCGTGACCTGGCTGAAGTCGGACGCTTAACCGACTGCGCCACCCAGGCGCCCCTGGAGCCTACTTTAAAAAAAGGCGGGGGGCAGGGGGAAATAAATCTTAGACTTACTTCTATAACAGCATATAGAGATCTCCATATTCTTTTTTAATGACTACTTAGTATTTCATTATATATATATGTATATACATTCATATATATATATACACACACATATATATATACACATACATACACACACACACACACACACACACACACACACGTACATACCCTGTCGGTTTTTTAGCCAGTCTTACATTGACTAAAATTTAGGTTGTTTTACTTTTTTGCTACTGTAAACAATATTGCAGGGAACCTAGTTTTGTTTTGTTTTTGTATATATATATATTTGGTGCATAGGAGCACCAAAGTTATCTGTAAGATAAATTCCTAGTGATGAAATTGCTAAGCTAAAGATTGTCTCCTTTTTCACTTTGAGTAAGTATTTCCAAATTACCCTCCCCCTGAACAACTACACCAGCAATATCCTACTAGTAGTTTGAGAAGGCCTATTTCCTCATACTGACCCCCAATAGTGGGTATTTAAAAAATTTTTAATCTTTGCCAATTGATCATTAAAAATTGATGTTACATTGTTTTATTTGTCATTCCCTTAATTATGACTGGGCGTAAACACTTTTAATATATTCATCAATTATTTTTCCTGACTTATGAAATGCCTATTCATGTCCTGTCTCCATTTTTCATATTGAACTGGATATTTTTTCCCCTAGTGATTTGAAAGAGTTTTTTAAATATTGAGAAAACTGCACTGTTTTACACCTTGCACATTTTCAGTTAATTATTAATTTTTACATTATTTTTAATTAAGGTATACTTCATATACATTAAATTCACCCCCTTTAAAGTGTACAATTCATTGATTTTTAGTATATTTACAAGATTGTGCAACTACTAACACTGTTTAATTCCAGGACATTTTGGGGCACCTGGGTGTCTCAGTCTGTTGGGCATCCGACTTGCGCTTAGGTCATTATCTCACAGTTTGTGAGTTCGAGCCCCACGTCAGGCTCTGTGCTGATACCTCAGAGCCTGGAGCCTGCTTTGGATTCTGTGTCTCCCTCTCTCTCTGCCCCTCCCCTGCTCATGCTTTGTCTCTCTCTCAAAAATAAATAATAGAATATTTAAAAAGAAATAAATTAATAATTCCAGGACATTTTTATCACACCAAAAAGAAATTCCCCTTTCCTTCCCTCCAGTCCCTGGCCACCACAAAACTTATTTTTCTATCTGTAGATTTCTGTCTATTCTAGACATTTAGTGTAAATGGAATTATGCAATATGTGGCCTTTTGTGTCTGACTTTGTAGCATGTTTTTAAGATTCATTTATGTGGTATTGTGTATTTAGTACTACCTTCCTTTGTGTAACTGCATAATTTTCCATCATTTTGATATACATTTTATTTATCCATTCATCAGTTGATGGACATTTGGGTTATTTCCACTTTGGGGCTATTTCTGAATAATACTGCTGTGAACATTTGTTTATAAGTTTTTATATGAACATACATTTTCATTTCTTTTGGGTATATACCTAAGAGCAGACGGTTAGGTCATTTGATAATTTAATGCTTAACTTTTTAAGAAACTCTCATGATGTTTTCTAGAGTAAGTGAACCATTTTACATTCCCACAAGCAAGCATCCATCTCTTGAAGTGTAGCCATTGAAGTGGTTATGAAAT